CCATAAAAGGGCTGGTCATGCAGCCATCTTCCTCTTTGACTCTTGTTGTTCTTCAACTCTTAATGCTGTGCTCTGGATGTTATTTTGCTGTCTGCTGGCTCTCAGCCAGCAGCACATGAGCTCAATCCCCATATGGGATGAACTCAAATTCTGTTCTGTAACTATAAGCTAAAGTCTGCTTTCAGGGAACCTACTGTGAACTGAATGTGAGTAAACTTCTTGTTACTTTTAAAGAAGACTGTTGCATCTTTATTCTTTTTAGGAGGGATAAAAGGGGAATTTACCAGGAACAAACCCAATCTGGGCAAATCCAGACTGCATTGCTTAAGTAAAGAGATTCAAACTAATCTACCAACTAGCTTCCTGCTATATACTGGGGAATGTACTCTGCTACTGACTCACTAGCGTGAATGAGGAAGGATAATAATTAATCAATGTATCCTCTCCTACTGTCCACAACATTCCCGGTAGCAGCTCTGAAGACCACTTGCTAAAAGGATTATTTCCCACTCTGGGGATTGACTGGCCACTTGGGGAAACAAGACGCCACATGAGGTCTGACAGGGCTCTGCTTGTGTTTGACTCTTTTCACATTCGCTGGCTTAAAATGCAGCTAGTTCACTCTTTTTTCAGATTGAATTGAAGCTGGTTTGGGAGAGAATGCATCAAAATGCAATGTGTCATAAGAGGAAATATAGATGCAGGCTAACACCGTATGTCAACAGCTTCCCAAACCACAAATGTGTACGCAGCCTCAATCTGAAACATCACTTGATTTAACCAGAGAAGGTAACAGACAGCCAAACGCTGAGGTTACAATGTGAGACCCACTTACCTGGGAGGAAGTCCTATTTAACTCCGTGCAGTGCTATTTTTCTAGAAAAAGAGGTGCCGGAACTCACCATGAACACCTCCCTTGTCTTACAATGGCAATGGCACCCACCCAAGAGTGCCGGTGAGTTCCAGCTGGAAAAAAGCCCTAACTCTGTGGGAATTACCCTATTTTTTGCTCTATAAGACTCACCTTTTCCCTCCTAAAAAGTAAGGGGAAATGTGTGTGCATCTTATGGAGCGAATGCAGGCTGTGCAGCTATCCCAGAAGCCAGAACAGCAAGAGAGATTGCTGCTTTCACTGCGCAGCGATCCCTCTTGCTGTTCTGGCTTCTGAGATTCAGAATATTTTTTTTCTTGTTTTCCTCCTCCAAAAACTAGGTGCGTCTTGTGGTCTGGTGCGTCTTATAGAGCGAAAAATACGGGACTTCTGAAAGTGTGCAGGGTTTTTGTCAAGGGGAAAGAGCAGGAACTCTTAAGTTGTGGGGAGGAATCCCTGCTAGTTTCAGTTCCATTTCAAGAGTGACCAGGAGGACAGTTAAATGATTTATCATCTGTCGGAGAGTGCTCCAGAGAATGTGTTAGTACGAAGGGAAGGAGATGGGCATAGACTTTTGGCAGTCAATGAAGCCATGGAGAGGGAGGTTTGCCTACATCTGATTAAGGGCAGGTGTCGGGGATTAAGGCTGAGACTGGCAAGTCCCCCGGAGTGGAAAGGGATGTTATCCTGAGCTGGAACAAGTTTCTGATTGTTGGAAAGTTCAGATGAGTCAAAAGAGAAAAGTAATAAGGCTTGGCTACATGTGTATGTGTCCCTCCGCCGTCCGTTAACTCACTAATTGAGTTATAAAATAAATTGCAGCTTTTCCTCTCCAATTTCTGTTATGGCAATCTGTTAATTCGGCTTTTATTTTTATAAAAAAAGAAAAGTGGCAGGTCCAAGGAAGCGGTTTGCCAACACAACAGTCTATGTATACACAAAGAAAAACAAATGTTTGCGTTATTACCCAAAGCAGTCCCAATCTGTCCCAAGGAGGGGCGGCGGAACGGGGGTGGGGAGGGAAAGGGGAAGATTCGCTTGAGGAACTTCTGAGCCACAACAGCATTGGAAGGTCCTGCAGCTGGCCTAGGCTGGGCAGGGTAGATGGAAATTTAAGAAAACCCAAAAGGGTTTCGATGGAGCTTCAATGCAGAACAGATGGGGGAAACACACTGCGTTTCCTCGTTTTGATGGATACTCTGGGACGGAGAGGACAGAATGTTCAGTTACCACGTGCATCCCTCAGAACACATCGGCGGAAGATGGAAGGGTGGCGATGGTTGACTGTCAGCATAAATCAGAAGAAATCCCGCTGAAGTCCATGGGATGCGGACTGCAGAGCAACCAGTGAAATTATTAATCAAGCCACATATCCAGACATGTACGAAGGGACTTCCCGGATAATCCAGCTGGTGGGTCGGGCATAGTGATAAAGTAGCACAGGCGTTCTGTGTCTGGTCTAAAATTCATTGTTCTCCAGAAAGGAGAGGGGTGGGTGGATCTCGGACAACAAACCTGGGTTAAATCTTGGCCTGAGAACTTGGAGAGCTAGTGATAGCAGACACGACGACAGGCAAACGAGACCAGTAGCTTGACGTAGGCCTAACCATACTATGCGTTTAAATCGCTACTTCTCCCAAAGAATCCTGGGAACTGTAGTTTGTTAAGGAGACTCCAGATACATCTACAAGTTGGGTGCTGCTCCCGCTCTCTGCTGTGCAGTGGGGAAAGTCTATGGGGTTCCATAGAGAATTGAGACAAGATGGAGACTGTCATAGCTTTAAGAAATGTGGTTCATTCACCCATTTACACATTCACTCTTCATGGAGGTAGTCCAGATCTTACACCATGGTCATTTCAAGAAAGCTTGTTCCCCACAGCAGGGCAGTCCAAGGCATCTCTCCCAGCCAACCTGCCCAAGATGGAGCCCAGTCTTTCTTCTTCCTCCTCCTTCCTCCCAGAACACCTTGTTAAAAACGCTGTCACCTCATACCCAGTTGCGCAGGCAACCTTCCAAATCCCCTGTCTCTTGTCACACCTCAGGGCAAAGGGGGAGTTCTCTTGCACTGCCAACAGCTCTCAATGGCCCTAGCTTGGCCAGGTCATTTTGCATTTCCATAGGCTAGCCCAGAGATTCTTCTGCAACTGGTATTTCTCCCTTCACACCCCAAGCCTACCATTTATTCATTTCTAGGGAATAGAGGGTCCCCCAAATCTATAACAATATGTTAGACTCCAACCACCACCCCCCTTCAGCCACCATGGGCAATGGGTAGGGTTGTTGGGGGATTGAGTCCAGTATCCATGGAGGGGAACCAGTTCTCAGTCTAAAACAAGGAATCTCTTTAGGGATAATTGGTACAGAGATACCAAAAAGAACAAAAATAAATAAATATGTGTTTACGTAAGCTACGACCGCAGCCAGGGTGATTTATGCTCAGAAATGGAAAGCAGTTTCTGTATCAGCCAAGGAGGAATGGCAGACTAAATTAATGGACTATGCCGAAATGGCAAACCTTACGGTAGCATTAAGGGACCAAGAGGAAAGTTTTGTGGATTATCTGAAATGTTATTGTACCATTAGCAGGATTAACTTAAACCAAACAGTTTAAACTTAATGTTAAAATATAAATAGGGAGTAATTATTACAGTGGTACCTCTGGTTAAGTACTTAATTCATTCCGGAGGTCCGTTCTTAACTTGAATTTTTTCTTAGCTTGAAGCACCACTTTAGTTAATGGGGCCTCCCGCTGCTGCTGCGCCGCCGGAGCACGATTTCTGTTCTCATCCTGAAGCAAAGTTCTTAACCTGAGGTATTATTTCTGGGTTAGCGGAGTCTGTAACCTGAAGCGTATGTAACCTGAAGTGTATGTAACTCGAGGTACCACTGTAATTGGAGGAATGAAGGAGATGCAGTGTTATTCATTAAAAAATATAAGAAACTGCAAAAAAAAAAAAACAGCAGGGGAAAGTCAAAATACATATATTTGTTGGGAAATATCATTGAAGAATTGAAAAGAAAATATAAAAATTAAAACAAAACAAAACAAGGACTCTCTGAACTTTTTGCAGTTGCGCCTATCCCTTTGGAGAATACAGCCTAGGCTGTATCATAGATGCGTCCAGGCTGTATCATAGATGCGTCCAGGCTAGATTCAGGAGCGATAGCCCCACGCTTTGTGAGCCGGCTGGTTCAGTCAAGCAGAAGTGTCTGCCTGTCTCATCTGACTGGCAGATGCTGCGATTTATTTAGCCTCGTGCCTTTTGTTTTTTAGGGTGGGGGATCCTTCTAAACACAGATAGCCGAGAGATCTTGGAAGCGTGCGTGGCGACTGATGCTCACAGAGCACCTCTCTCCATCTGTGATGGAAGCATTTCGGCGCCATGGGAGAGGAAGAGGCCGCGGGGATGCATGAGGCAGAGAAGAGGAGGAAAAGGAAACGTTTTCTTCTTTCGCCGACCCTTCCTCAGGCCTGAGACTCTTCTGAAGGCTACAGGCAGCCTTCAGCCACCTTCTTTGCTTCAGCGTGCGCCCTGAGCCTCTTCTGCTGCCCAGCGCCAGATGACCCGACGTGAGAGACCCGTCGCTTCCAGCGAGAAGAGAGCAGGAGGCGAGGCGGCGGGACCTGTCGGCGGGGAGCCTCGCGATGATAATGAAACACCTTCGGGGGCGCAAGAGAGGTGTCTGCGTCTATCTCACTCGCACTCCCAAGGGGAAGCGCTGGAGATTCTCCGCCGTGCGCAAACGGAGGCGTCCAGTTTCTCTCTCCCCTCTTTGTGCATCCCAGATTTCGGGGAGCTTCTAGCGCATTGGCCATTCATGGTTTTTGGTTTAGCGACTTTAGCCATTAAGGGATGATCTGAGGCGGAGAACTCCCGTCTCCTCCACCCAAACAGCGCCCCTTTCTCTCTTGCATTACACTTTCAGAAACTTTAACAAATTAACTTCAATTTCAATATTCTGACAGCCTAGTCAATGACCTCCGGTTGTCACTGCCATGGCACAGGTCACGTCTCCTTCCACAGGGCAACTCCACTTTCCGTGAACCTCCCCGAGTTAGAAACTTAGAATCACAGAGTTGGGGTCCAGGGGTCATCTAGTCCAACCCGCTGCAATGCAAGAACCTTTTGCCCAACGTGGGGCTCGAAACCACAACCCTCAGATTAAGAATCTCATGCTCTAATGACTGAGCTAACCCAACTTTTTAATTTGTTTGTTTTCTTGCTTATAGTTTCTAATTGTTGAAGAGGCGTCGTTCAAAGGAGTAAATAAAGAGGATTTAAGGCTTCTGGTCTGCTTCAAGCACCTTGGTATAACAACATACTGAGCAGGACTAAAAAGGAGTGGTGGGGAATCAAGTTTCCGTCTTCTTTCTCTTCCCCATCCTCTCCCCCTCTCATCACAGTGGCACCTCAGGTTAAGTACTTAATTCGTTCCGGAGGTCCGTACTTAACCTGAAACTGTTCTTAACATGAAGCACCACTTTAGCTAATGGGGCCTCCCGCTGCCGCCGCGCCGCTGGAGCACGATTTCTGTTCTCATCCTGAAGCAAATTTCTTAACCTGAAGCACTATTTCTGGGTTAGCGGAGTCTGTAACCTGAAGCGTATGTAACCTGAAGCGTATGTAACCCGAGGTACCACTGTATATGTAAAACCTGCTTCTCCGTTTAAAACAGACACCGCAGCTCACCGGTGTTTTGCACTGCTTTGTAGCACAGACCACAAGAGAGTTCCCTGGCACCTTAAAAGACTTAGCAGCTCCAAGCCCGAATGAACTCCATGACTTTGATAGCCTGGGCAGCTCAGGTGGTTAGAGCATGGGGCTGATAACGCTTGAGAGCAAGCCCTATCGGGCAGAGTGGGGCTCCCTTCTGCGTGGGCACGGTTAGGATGACATTGTCAGGCTGTGTTCTGCTGCTTTCACACCTGGAAGTAAGCTCCCTGGAGAGACTGACTTCCGCTGCAAGAGAAGCACTGGGGCTTGAGAGCATATATGCGAGGTATGTATATATATATATGCGAGATAGCCTTTAACTTATCTTACTAAAAGGTTGCCCATGGCATCAGCTCAGGAGCAACTTCTAAGGAAAGCGCGCTGGGGTCTGCAGTGAACTCCGTTGCGCGGCGATGTTTCTCCGTGGCGCTTCCGTTCGCTCAGATTTGCTCGAAGGGGCGTCCCGAGGTCTCCAGGATAAGCGCGCAGAGAATTGTCTTGAACGCAGAGGCGATGCCATCGAAAGCACTGAGAAGCTCTGTATGACTCCAAGGAAACATATCTCCCAGCAAGCGTGTGTTGGCTGCCCTTGTTAGGCTGACACCCAAACAAGCAACCGGGCATTCATGGACGTCTCACTGCTGATGACTTGAATTGTGGGGCCGAGGCTCGGGTTCAGAGGCGCATAAGTAACTTCTGTTGGCATCGGCGGAGCTTAATGAACGAATAGATTTATAGGCTGCCTTTGCAGGCTCAGATCTACCCGTCTAGCTGGCTGGCATACTCCCAAGTAGATAGAGACCAAGATAGAGAAAGATTTAAGGTGGTCTGTAAAGCGTTTGGAAAATCAAACCCCGTTTTGGGTTGCGAACTGGGTTGGGAGGCTGGAGAAAGCCTACCTGGATTGCTAAACTCGCTTGCAGCCCCAACCACGAAGTCTTGAATGCAGTCGGGGGGTGGGTGGTTTTTTTTTTATTTTTTCTTATTTTATTTTTACTGCATATGGGATTTACAGTAGGATTGCAATCCTCCTTTGGGGCTAAATGAATCCCGCGGGATTTTTAAAGCATGGACTGGGTTGTGCGTCGGGTTAAGATCGGGAGCCCGCTGAAATAATTTATTATGTGTTTACTTATCAAACAAACGTGAAGGGCGTTCAGACGCGACGATTGCTACCCTTCGGGGAACAAGAGTGAGGTCTCAGAGGAAGCTTCGCGCGGGTGGGGAGTGTAGTTGGCTATCGCTTCTGTCGTTGGGGTTCAGCCTAGGACTGAAATGCGAAGGGTTCGCTTGTGTTCCTTTCCCATGTCTTTCATGCCTTTCCTTTCTTCACGTCTAAAGATACGTGAAGCCAATGCTTTGCTCAGATGAAGCAGGAGAACTGGGTCTGGTCCTGCACTTAGATGGGAAATATCCTGGGTTCCAGTCTGGAAGACAGGCGAGACAGACAGACAGACAGACAGATATTCATTTAACCCTGAGACAGCTTCAGCCTCCATGTTAAGAAGGGCCTGGGAGAAGAAACGCCGATATTTCGTCTCTTTCTCCCTGTTCTGCTTTACCCGACGGTCAATTGCTCACGAAGCACCAAGCAGATTAAAAACAAAACAATGCAGGGCAATCGGAAGTTTCCTGGGGATGCAACAAGGCCAGCCACATGGCTGGAAGGGAGGAAGCGCCATAGAAATCCATTGGTGGCTTCCACATGAAATGGTGTTTGGTTTTTTTCAGACTGTGTGGTTTGGATGGACTGGGCGAAAGGCCATTCTCCTCGCTCCTCAGAACTCGCCGTTCCTCTTGCTGACTGCATTATATTTTTATTATAGAGGAGCATCAATTGGACAGGAGACTGCTCTGGTGGTAAGGAATCCAATCACGGCAACTTGTGCCAGGGGCAAGAAGAAGACCCCCACAAACACCCGACAGAGAGCCACGAGCCCCTAGCGTGGCCAAGCCCTTGCAGAATGAACGAAAAGAACCCTGATCTTTCAAATCTGTTCCCTAGCAGCGCGCTCCCAAACCGATTGATGGCATTAACCGCCGCCGATCTTGATGCTTTGGGTGTTGTTTTATTATTTGTGGAGAAAACAGACATTCCCCATCTCTCTCCTTTCCCCCTCCCTTCCCCACTCCGCCCTCCACACACACACACACACACACACACCCCGCAAAGGGCTGAGAAAACTTGAAATAACATCCGAGTCAATACCGCGGTTTGTTATTTTAACTGGGATCCAAGGAAACATCTGAATTTTACCAAGGAAGCCCTCGAGAGGAGAGAAAACAAAACATTAACGCTCAGGCAGGCGGGAGGGCGGCTTTGCGGGGGCGGGGAGAGAGATATTTGATCGACTTCATTTCCCCCCTTTCAAGCGAGGATCTCCTTCTGTCCTAAAGATTAACGACCCTTTTCTGCCAGCTTCACCGACAAACTCTTGGTTTAAGGACGGCGGTGCCAAACAGGCCACGGAAGCGAGGAACTGGCTTCTGAAATTCCGAAATACTTTCTTTTGGCTGGTGATGGAAACCAGCTTCGACTTTTAAAAAAGATCCCTTTTCTCAGTCTGCCCCTGAACATACAGACACGGGGAAAAATGGGTCCCACTCGATTGAAGGGGAGGAGGAGGGAACAGGCATCCTGGCCCTACACCCTGGATTTTTTTGTTGTTATTTAAGGCGTGTCCAATTTGGGTGCCGCTTTTTCCTGCATCATTCAGGGTTGGGGTCCCCCAGAAATTGGCCTCCAGCATAGCTTATACTCCAGTCACATCTGGAGACACACAGGTCCGTCCCCGTCTCCGTCCCCCATACGATCTCTGCTAATAAAGTCCTGCGTAACTGAAACGTTTCCAACTTGCACCCGCGCGCGAAACGACCAGGTTTAGGTTGGTTGGAAATCAAGGTCGCAGGGGAACGAATGCGCGCTCCTTGTGGTCAGGGTGGTGGCTGTTCTGTGGCTTAATGAGTACGTGGATAGACAGCAGTAGCACTGAAAACGCAGCAAAGATCTGTGGAGGAGGAAAAGCCCAGCAATAGCACTACAGTGGTACCTCGGGTTACATGCGCTTCAGGTTACATACGCTTCAGGTTACACACTCCGCTAACCCAGAAATAGTACCTCGGGTTAAGAACTTTGCTTCAGGATGAGAACAGAAATCGTGCAGCGGCTGCGCAGCGGCAGCAGGAGGCCCCATGAGCTAAAGTGGTGCTTCAGGTCAAGAACAGTTTCAGGTTAAGAACAGACCTCCCGAACGAATTAAGTACTTAACCCGGGGTACCACTGTACTGCAGTACTGGTAGTAAGAGTAACAACCTTTCTATCACTTGCTTACGCCTTCTTTCCTTGCAAAGGCGGCTTACAAAGGATAATGAAAACTATCAGTTGTTGCCCCTCCCCAAAGACACACACAGGCCACAATTGCACAGTGCGTCTGGCTGTTAATTGGAAGGTTGGTGGTTGGCGACAACCCCCCCCCCCATTGGCTGTGGGCAGGATTTCTGCATTGCAGAGGGTTGGACTAGATGACCCTGGGTGTCTCTTCCAACTCTGCAATTCTACGATGGAAAAACTAGAAACAGCAGCGGTTTAAATCGAGCAGCGCCCTTGGTGCAAGGAATGCTAGGAGTGGTCCTCTCTGCAACAGCCAATTCGAAGCAAGGTTCTTGGAAGTAACTCCTCACCGGGGCCTCACTCCCAGAGCAAAAGATGCCACTCCTACTAACACACACACACACACACACACACACACACACACACACACACACACACACACACACGCTTCTCCTGGATTAAACTGCCAGGGGGTGTCTCTCCCCCCCCCCCCTGCGCGCGCTCTTTTTTCCCTCCCCCTTTTAACATCTCTTTTGTTGGTGCTGGCGAAATGATCTCTGATTTCTATCGAAAAGGACACAGAGCAGGAGGAGGGGGGAAATCAGCCAACGCAGCGCGTTTCCTCTGCAAGTTCAGGGAAGTTTATAAAGTCTGTGTAACTTCCTCTCGGGTGCGTCCAATTCCTGCCACCTTGGGAGAAAGAGGGACCCCCGCCCCCTCGGGCTCCGGGTGAAAACCCCTCTCTGGACATCTCTGGCTCTTTCTCTACACGATCAGGTTCCCTTTAACGTGTCCTCCGAGGCGCTCCTCTTGGCACCCGGCTGCGCTCTGCCCAGTTGGCAACGGGCGCACGTCGAAAACACCTCGGCCAGTTTGTTACGGGTGTTATTTCCGACGGATTCAGTTTAAAAAGGGGTTTTCTTTTTTTCTTTTTCTTTTTTAGGAGAGAGAGAGAGAGAAACATTTTTTCAAAAAAACCGAAGAGGGCAGGCAGGAAGGAGCTCTTGCAAAAAAAGCAAATATATGACTCAACAATGTTTGTGTTTTGGTTCTGGGTTTTTCGTTGCGCGCGCGGCGGAGCGGCGTCCGAGGGCTTGAGCGCCGTCGTTGCCAAGCGGCGGCCGCTCGGCAGGGGGCGCTGCGCGGGGTCCGAAAAAGCCTCCTGCCGCTGTCGGCGGAGTCGGCGTGGATTGTGAACACAATGTTAAAAAGCGGCCGGGGAGTCCGAGGAGCCCTCAAAGCCCCTGCGCGAGCCGCCCGGAGCCCGCCGAGCTCTGTCTGCTGCTGCTGCTTCAGACGGCGAGGACGGCGACGGCGAGAGGATGGAGCTGAGGGCGGCCGCGGCGCTTTGCCTCTACTGCCTCTGGAGCGCTTGCCGTCTGCGTCCGTGGCAGCTGGACGCCGCCGCCGTCAGGCCCCTGCTGCCCGCCTCGGCAGCGCAAGCGGCAGCCGCCAACGAGGAGAACCTCGACGTCAGAGACGCCGCCGCCTCGGCAGCCTGGAAGGCGAAGCGCGAAGGCGCGTTCCGCAACGGCACTGTGGTGCCTCACGACTACATGGTAGCGCTTTACCACAGCCTGGCCCGGAGCAAGGAGCCTCCTGTGCCCGCCGTCGAAGGAGGCGGACGAGCGGACACCGTCACGGGCTTCGTAGACCAGGCGCAGCCGCGAGGTGAGCCAGCCCGGGTAGGGTGGTGGGTGGAATGGGTTGGGATGCCCAGAGCGCACCTGCGCCCTGGAGCAGGAGCCGTCGAGCCCCGTGCAAGGGGACAGGTGGGACTGCCAAGGACAGGTGGGATCCTGTTTGTGGGAGCCAGTTCTTGCCCTCATTGTCTCCGAAGTGAGTCCCGCTTCGCTTGAGACACTTCCCCCTCTCCTCCTGTGGTCAAATCCCCAAGTAAGCGGTTTGCATAGGATTGCAGGCTTCACCCGCCCCCTCCCAGCGAACAAGTAATCTGACCGGGATCGCCCCAGTTAAACCCAGTTCTTGCGCATAGCGGTGGAGGAGAGATTTGCCTCGGGCAAGCGCCCGGCCTTCAGTTACGCCGGCTGTTCTGATTTGGATTGGATACCTTGCAATTCCACTCCAAGGCGAGAATCGGGATTCTTGCTCGGGGTGGTTAGTTTGAAATCAACATTGCCAACCTCTTGGGGTAGGGTAGCAGTCCAAATCTGATGCAAAGTACTTTGAAAAGTTACTCTCGGTTCTTCCAGCTGATCCTATCTATTCTAAACGATCTAAAATATTAATCTCGATCTAATACAAAGCAACAAACGCCCCTCGACTGTGTGATAGCTACCTCGTCTCTCTGCACTCTGCGAGTGAGAGGTTGGTCTAAATTTTGCAAATTCGAAAGAAAAAGAGAGTCGCTGCTTGGTTGTTGTTGTTTTTGGGTGGTTTAAAATGGCAAAACATTAATATATATAATATTTGTGTGTACATCACACCCCATACGTTTCGAGAAAAATGCACCGTGTACCCTCAAGCTGGGGCGGGGAGGACTTAATGTGAACCCAAACTGTTAAATAAATGTTGGCCCGAAGCAAAAGCATACAGAGAGAGGAGGGGGAAATCCAGAGAATTGCGGCCGCTACAGTCCTGTGAGCGTGTAATTCGACCATACGAAAACAGCCAAGGAAATGTAAAGCTGGAAATAGTTTTGTTTTAAATCCAAGCCGCGAAAGCAGAGGGGTCTATCTAAAACTGCGGCCAGCCCAAACCTGATAGGACACAACCCCACAACTGCGGAGGGTTTGCTCACCCCAAATCCAAGGGGTTTAATGGAAAGTCAAATGATTTCTGTTGGGGTTCTGCTCAAGAGCTGCAAAGTTTTCTGCAGAGGGTGGCATTCGTTCTCTGACAATCGGTTGCGTTTGAGAGCCAAAGGGAGCTGCAGAAGGAAAGAAAAGAAGGAAGGAAGGAAGGAAGGAAGGAAGGAAGGAAGGGAGGGAGGGAGGGAGGGAGGGAGGCAGAGAGAGAGAGAGAGAGAGAGAGAGAGAGAGAGAGAGAGAGAACTGAACCAATATTTTTTTTGAGAGCAGAAAAGAGGTCAGACCGGACCAGATAAGATTTTTCAGCTGAAGCGAGAAGCAAGAAAAATCTGTCCAAATGCACTGTGTGGCGGATTTTCTGCAGACTGCAGAGAGCTCAGCGCTGTCCCGCCGCTTCCCTCTCCGGGCCCTCTCTCTTCTGCCAGTGGGTGGGCCAGCTTTTGGCACCCAGCGAGCGTGACAGCTCAGCGGCCCGCTTTGACTCGGGAGGCCACCTGGCGTCGGGCAAAGAGAGCTGAGGTGCATCTGGTTTGCTGGCTGGACGACGGAGTGGGTGGAGATAGCAGGTGTAAGGCAAAGGAGGGAGGGGGGAGGCGGCGGTGGCCGCCGGGCGACCAATCCTCGCGGGCGCCTTCTTCCTCATGCAAATACAGCTCCGCCGCGGAACAGAGCGCAACCTGCCTGCAAGGGTCAGGAGGAGGGTTGAACCACCTTCTTCCCCAGAGCATCGCTGGGCAGGCGGGACTCTTGTCCATGCAGTGCGCTCCGCGCTCCTGCAAAAGACGCACGGTTCCAGCCGCCTCCCCACGCGTCGCGCGCCACTTTGCGCCCTCCTTCTTCCTGGGCTGGCACAGCCAGGTTGCTAGGGAGGGGACAGCCCTCTCACCCCGTCACCTGGGGCGTTAAGACTAACGTAGAGCAACTTTATTTTCCCCCGCACCCACCCACGTCGCTTCCCTTCCTTTAGCTTTGGGGGGTCCTAGTCTTGGGTGGTGGCATTCCTGTTCCCCCAACTTTGGCAAGGTACGGAAGCGGTGCGGTGGGGTGGGGGAAGGGTGCGTGCGCTCGCGCGCTTTGTTTTACAGTTTGGTTCATCTGGAGCGCATTAATCTGCGCTGGAGGAGCCATTAAAGTGTGGAGAGGTTCAGGACGCTGTAAACGCATTTCGAGTTGGGGGGGGCGCTTCGGCCTGCCTCCCACCGCACTGCCTCCCACCTCAACCCCTCTCCCGTTTGCCCTGCCCGGAGCCATTTGGCACGCGACCCCTCTTGGGAAGAAGGTGACACGAAGGAACTGAAGGGAGAGGCCAATTTCTCACCGAAAACGTAAAAAATCCAAAAGCAAAACAACCCATCGCGCCTGCTCCGCGGGGCGGAAATGGTTTGTTTTCGCCTGCAGCGGACTAACCAACATCTCAAGCCGCTTTTGAGTGCTGCGCTCCACTCTGCTTCTGACAGCAGCTATTTTATTTACTTAACCGGCCACAATCCAGCCAGTTTTAAAACAATCAGATTGAAGACGGAGCGATGTAAACACGCGCTCAGTAGCCATCCGTCACGGATGCTTCAGCTGAGATTCCTGCATTGCAGGCGGTTGGGCAGGATGGGCCTTGAGGTTCCTTCCAACTCAACAATTCTGTGATTCCTCTACAGAGCCCCGGCGCTTACAGTGCTTTAATTGTGTTCGGCTTTGGGACACCTATTTATTCGTGTGAATCGCCTTTCCATGAGTTTGCGCCGAGGCTGACGCGCAAATCCATGTTTCAAAACGGGAACAAATGAAAAATAAACGGTGAAGTCGCAGAAATAAGAGAGAGAACGCGCGACCCAACCGAAGTTAAGCATTTTAAAAATAAAATACAACTGTGTATCTACTTCGGCTGTAACCCTCTCTGCCATAGTAGTTCCGGGACATTATTCGTCTTTTTGTCAAAGGCTGCGCTGCTAAGCATTCTTATTGGGGAGCAAACTTTCCGGTAAACGCACGTTGTGCGCCCCCGAGTTGTTCTTTATTGCGGGTGATGGTGGAGAGGAGACCATAAGCCCGGAGTTAAGTTAGGTTTGGGGTGAGGAGGGGTGCGGGGGAAGCGCCAGAGTTGAGCGCTATTTCTAGCAGAACGAAAAACCCAATTTTTCAGGCTGATGGGGGCAGTTTGCACTGAGCAACCTGGCTGGTGGAGACATATAAACGTCGGAAGGGTTCGATACGCTTCAGAACAGAATGCAAGCGAATTAAAAAAAGACAAAGGACAAAAGGGGATCCCGGGCTATATAGCTGAAAGGAAGTGCTATGTGAGTTCGGAGAAGTTTTGTTCTTTATGGGTCCCCCCGCGCCCATGAAGACGGTCTGCCTCAGGGAGAGAAAGCCCCCAAAGGGAGGCGAGGTTTGAGGTTCCGCTGTGCTTAAAAAGTCAGGGCGCCGCCAGGCTAACCATAACTCCGGCTTGTCCCTTTTGGGGTGAAAACGAGGCATGTGGGCTTTGGGCGCAGGATAACTGAATTTAGCCTAACTGAATTCAGGGCAGCTGAACACTTAGCACACACATACGAAATTCCTCCTGAAATTGTTGTGTCTGAATGGGTTGAACAGCAGGTCATCATCGCCAGGCGCTGTTGGAAAGATCTCCCGGTTCGTTAGTGATTGCTCACAAATAATCTAGAGGTCAAATCCAGCTCAGCACGGAATATCAAGGGGGGTCAACTTCCTAGTGAGAATATTTAGGAAGGGATACAACCTATATCCCTTGGTGGATATAACCTAAGGGGCATTTGTAACTATGGTGTAAGTTTTCCCATAAAGGATGCTAACCGTCCAAGGAGGACTGAAAATGCTCCTGTTGTATCTGATTCAGACTTCAACACCGAAGTTAACGGAATTAGACCGATTTATGCTCTGCAACTTCAAAGGTTTAAACGGTAGATCGGTGACCTGGTTTTAAAGAGAGGCAGATCGAGAGATCTTGAGTCGCACGAGCTTCAACCGTACAATATTTAGTCGTTTGATCGATTGATTTAATTACACACCTAGGTTTGCATATGAATAAAATTAAATGAAATAAAAGTGAACTTCGTTTCCAGAGGATATATATAAAATCAGTCTAATCTAACAGCTAAATCCAGGGGTGGGGATTGGGGGAAATGTCCCATCCTCCCTTCTGATATTGTTGGACCACCTGCCCATTGGCCAGATGTTGGTTGAGCTGGAAGTCCACCAACATCTGGAAAACCACAGCTTCCTCGCTCCTGCATGTATCTAGGTCTAGGTCTAGGGAACCAGCTGCGTGGCTGGACCTTCCCGTTAGTAAATATCATAAGCAGCAGCTTATTTCTTCGCGTTTCTACTAGAAGGGTAAACACGAAAAAGCGGGTATGTTTGCATTCCGGTCTGCGAGTTTACGCACATTCATACGCACGTTTAACTTCATCCCCCGCCCCCGCCCTAAGGATTCTATACATATATAAATTAATCCACCCCACCTGAGGGAGTTGAACAGGTGAAGCACCTGCTGAAATCAATGGGTTTTGTGAGAACATAAAAACCGGAGCCATTTATTGCAGCATAAGCTTCTGAAGACTGGAAGCTTATGCGGTTCCTGAAAACTTTCGCCGCGGTAAAACTGCCGGCGTTTAAGGTGTCTCAATACCCTTTTGGCAAGTTTTTGCCGCAACACGGGAAACCCCCACTCTGAATATGGTGACTGGAATCTCGTGGGACTTGGGCTGGGTCTTGCCTCTGCTCAGTGCCAGGTTTCAAAAAGGAAAAGGAAAGCCTTCGTCGGAAGCAGCCCGGTTTCCAGGGGGGCTGAAAGCGAGAAGCCCTCTGTGCAGGCCCATTGGCTTCTGAGAGGGGGCCCCCCATCTCTCTTTGAAGGCCAAGAGGAAGGAGGACTCGACGCCGGGGAATATCTGTCCGAGCTGCTTGCTTTCCCTCTTAGGAATCTGCTTCCAAGAGCGCAGCGCAGGGCCCGCAGGCTGCGGTTTCTGGGAGTTTCAAAGCAAAACTGAAACCAGCTGAGCAATTCAAAGGGGTCTCCTCCCCTCCTTATCTGTTCCTATCCAGACTTCTACGTCGGATTTTTTGGGGGGGCGGGAGCCAACAAATCAGCCCGCTGTTTTCCACCCTAGTGGAGATGTTTTCCACCCCAGTGCGTAAGGGGGTCATTGATTTGAGTTCCCCAGGAAAGCCCTGGGCTCTATGAATTAAGACATCAATGAAAGGTTCCTTCTTATCATAGAATTGTACTTGGGGTCCTTGAGGATTCTGGTCCAAGCCCCGGCAATGCAGGAATCTCAACCAAAGCATCCATGACAGGTGACCATCCAAACTCTGCTTAGAAACCTCCAAGGAGGGAGAGTCCACCACCTCCCGATGGAGTCCGTTCCACTTTCTAACAACTCTTACTGTCAGAAACTTCTTCCTGATATTTAGTGGGAATGTTCTTTCTTGTACCTCGAAGCCATGGGTTCGAGTCCTATCTTCCGGAGCAGGAGGAAACAAGCTTGCTCAATCTTCCATGTGACAGATATTTGAAGGTGGCTCCGAAAGATCAAAGTTGGAAGCGGGTGGCGCTGTGGGTTAAACCACAGAGCCTAGGACTTGCCAATCAGAAGGTCGGCGGTTCAAATGCCCGTGACGGGGTGAGCTCCGGTTGTTAGGTTCCATGTCCTGCCCACCTAGCAGTTCGAAAGCACGTCAAAGTGCAAGTAGATAAATAGGTACCGCTCCGGCGGGAAGGTAAACGGCATTTCCGTGCGCTGCTCTGGTTCGCCAGAAGCGGCTTAGTCATGCTGGCCACATGACTCGGAAGCTGTACGGCCGGCTCCCTCGGCCAATAAAACGAGATGAGCGCCGCAACCCCAGAGTTGGTCACGACTGGACCTAATGATCAGGGGTCCCTTTACCTTTACCTTACCGAACGATCAATACTCTAACCGTCCACCCCACCAGGTGTTAAAGAACTCTACTTTTGTCTCTCTTCCAATATATGATCACTTTTTTAAAACAGCAGCAACAACAGATCTTTTAAATGATTCTCAGCATCTTCCCATTCTTTCCCGTTCTCAAAGTCAATCTGGAAGGGTGGGTTATCATCACCCTTTCAGGATTTATTTAGCAAGGGAAGAATGGGAGAGCGAGTCAATCTCGAACAGGGAGCAAGTTCAGCTGAAATCACTGGACACGTATCTTCTCTAAGGCGAAGCTGTGGAGCCAATGCAGGCTCTTGGCTCCTTCCAGTTGGAAGGCCAACTTCGATCGGACCCAACACTCTCCCCCCTCTTGAGAGTGGCTTCCCCAGCAATCCGTTTAAGATCGTGATTCGGAGGCAGCAACCTATTGAAGCCAATGCATAGGATCGCGCTGTAAGAATGATTCCAATAGACGCTCAGCGTATTTTCAGCAATGCCCGTTTTGTGCGTGTATATAAGAAGCGACGCGTAGTGGTGCTGTGCCGGAGGGGCCGCATTTGAGAAATCTTCTTTCCCCTTCTCCTCCTCCCTCCTTTTATTTATTTTAATCCGATTTTGTTTATCTGTTGTCACGTCTGATGCGTTTAATCAGTCCCAGGAAAAGGGCTACGTCCGGCTCGGAACATTTACATGGGAGGGCGGGTGGGAAAGGGTTAAGAATATGTGCGCAGGGTCAGACCCCTTCAACAGCAGTCAGACCCCTAACTAGCGCGGCTCGGTCCTCTTTCTCCTCTCTGCGCCCCAACTCCAAGGATATAGATGGACACACACGTGAACAAAATGATCTTTGGCAGATTGGGAAAATGTTTAACTTGGCACGGAGGAGGCAAGAAAGACATGAAACAACCTTCCAGAACCTGCTCGATCCGAGGGCTGGGAAATAAATACAGATGGTTACTGTAAAGATCTTTCTCATTGTCTCTCCCCGAAGGAAGGCGCGGGCTGGCGAGAGGAGGGAGGGACCCAGGCTCGTCTGTTTCAAAGACAAGCCTCTCCAGGGGCTTGTTTTTCGAAAATGAGACGAAAAGCAGGTCCAAAACGCATGGCCCTTTTACCTCAGCCGCGCTGTCCGCCCGGCAACCTTAGACCGGGTTTTCTGCACACGCTCAGAGGTGACGTTGTACATTCCACCAGGCCTGAGCAGCGAGAACGAGTTTCGGAGGAGCTGCTCTGTAAACGGTCGCACAATTGCGCACCCTGTCTATACACGAGAAGCGCTGGGCTTAATTGAACTGTCAGACGCACCCTCTCCCCTTTAATGTCCGGCGCAGCAGCAGTAGGGATCAAAGTGCCTATGGGTATGTTCAGAAGCCCTTTCTTTCTCCCGTAACAAATAGAATCGTAGACTTAGAGGGGACCCCAGGGTCATCTAGCCCAACCCCCTGCAATACAGGAAACTCAGCGAAAGCATCCACGACAGATGACCATCCAGTCTCAGGACTGGGGCGCTACTGGCCCTGCAACGGGCAAAGTAGCGCTCGCTTCATGGGCAGCAGCTTCCTAGCAGCCAATTAGGCGCATTCAGGGGCAATGCCTGGTAAGTACGCATAGCTTGATCCAGGAGAACCCCGACTCGCGGCAGAGGGTTCCCTGCTGGACGACAGCTCCCACCACTGGCCCTGCTGGCTGGGGTTGATGGCAGCTGAAGTCCCCAAGAGACACTTCCAGGTTCCAGGCCTGAGTTGGCGGGAGAGGCCAGGGTAACAAGGCAACCGCGCCGTCGGGCCAGGCGCGGCTTTTAGGGCGCACAGCTCTGCGCTTGCTCTTGATTCACGTTTCCTTCTGTCCCCCTCCTCTCTTTCTGCAGATGACTCTCCGTCGGAAGCGGCGCAGCGCTACCTCTTCGACATCTCCAGCCTGCCCGAGCTGGACGAGGTGGTGGGCGCCGAGCTGCGGATCCTGCGCAAGCCCCCGGGAAACCGGAGCTTGGCCACCTCCCCAGAAGGCCTCCTCCACCGGCTGCTGCTCTCCTCCTGTCCGGAAGGGGAAAGCCACCAGCCGGGCCTCTTAGACTCCAGGGCCGGCGACCTCTTGGACTCGGAAGGCCTTTCTTCCTCGTCGCCCAACAAGTGGGAAGTCTTCGACGTGTGGGCAGCCTTGACGGGCGGGGCCGAGGAAGGCGGCAGCCCTCGCCACCCTCGTCCGTCGCTTTGCTTCCTCCTGAGGGTCGTCTCGGAGCAGTCCGGGAGACTCCTCCCGCCGGGACAGCTGGGCTTCCGCAGAGAGCAGCCGTCGGAGCCGCACGAGAGGGCGCTGCTGGTGGTCTTCTCGCGCACCAAGCGGAAGGAGAACCTCTTCAAGGAGATCCGAGAGAAGATCAAGGCTCTGGGCGGCGGTCCCGGGCTCTTGCTGGAGCCCCCCGACTCGGGACAAGATCCCCTAGCCAAGCAGCAGCGCCGCCGCCGTCGGAGGACCACGCTGGCGGGCCGGGCGGCCGGGGGGCGAGGCCACGGCAAGAAGGCCAAGAGCCGCTGCAGCCGGAAAGCCCTGCACGTCAACTTCAAGGAGCTGGGCTGGGACGACTGGATCATCGCGCCCCTGGACTACGAGGCGTACCACTGCGACGGCGTGTGCGACTTCCCTCTGCGCTCGCACCTGGAGCCCACCAACCACGCCATCATCCAGACGCTCATGAACTCCATGGACCCCGACGCCACGCCGCCCAGCTGCTGCGTGCCGTCCAAGCTCAGCCCCATCAGCATCCTGTACATAGACTCCGGCAACAACGTGGTTTACAAACAGTACGAGGATATGGTGGTGGAGACGTGCGGGTGCAGGTAGCGGCGTCGGAAGAAGCGAAGGCCTCTTCTCCTCCTCCTCCCCCGTCCTCGCCTGCTTCGCTTCCCGGGCTCCGTGGAGCGTGTCTTGCATGCAGCGAGTTAAGAAGATGCCAAGATTCGCCTCGATGTCCTGCCTTTGGCTGCCTGGCCCGGCGGCACTCGTGCATTGTGCGCGTGTGGCATAAAGAGGAGCCATCTTCTTAGGACCCTTCCCCATATAATATTCGAGGGCGCCTGCCCCCTCCCCAAAGTTGATAGGCATTGCTATTCAAATGGTGTGCCTGCCCATCATCATGTGATCGATTATGTGAGGCGGAGCTTCCCTGCCCCCCCCCAATATTTTGTTTCAGTTGGCACCGCTGGCATGTGGAAAAGGGGGGATTTTGCAGGCTTCGCCTCTCTTTTCCTCCCTCCCTCTGCAGATGCTAGTGACCTTTATTCCCTAGACAATGAGTGAGTGACCTAGCACCCTTCTGTAAGTCTGCACCCCACCAAATGGGCACTTTAAGAGAAGGAAATGGGATGACAGTCTCGAGAACACCTTTGCCAACCAGTCTAGGCGGTTAGCTGAGGTGAACCGTTGTGTGAGTGTGTGTGTGTGTGTGTGTGTGTGTGTGTGAATAATCTGAAACGGTGGTTTTCAAGCTATCTCCAGTGAAGCCATTTCACATTCATTTTTGCTCATGATTTTGTTTTGTTTTGTGAGTGTTGGTGGTAGATTGTCTAGGCGGCACGCGGTTCTCAATAGTCAGTGCGGAGGCTTGCTTAAATGCCCCACTAGTTTCCTGTGTGAACCGAGGCCTGCAACCCACCAAACATCTCTCTGGGGCTGCATGTTATGGGGGAAGATTGAGAGTGGTGGACCAGCCGTCTTTTAAGGCAGTTTGTCTGCCATTACCCATCCGCAATGTTTCTGAGGAGCCCCTGAACACAGTTTGGACACCACTGCTCTGTGACACCTCTCTTTTCCCTCTTTCCCTCTCTCTCCCCCCACATTCCTTGACTTTTCTTTCTTTTGGAAGATTGCTTGCCTCTAGTGGCATATCAAAGAAACGGGCAGTATGTTGTTTAGCAGCACAATCTCTTAGGCGTAATCACCAGGAAGTAAGTGATTCCCTCTGCGTTCACTGGAGTCTGCTCTCAGGTGAAATCTTGAACGCTTACATGGAGGCAAATCCCACTGAAATAAGGTCTTACTTAAGTACCGTGGTACCTTGGTTGTCAAACGGCTTGGCTCCCGAACGTTTTTTGGAAGCCGAACGGACAATATGGCTTCCGCAGCTTCTGCTTGAGTGCAGGAAGCTCCTGCAGCCAATTGGAAGTTGCACCTTGGTTTTCGAACAGTCCCAGGAGTCGAACAGACTCCCAGACTGGATTAAATTCAAGAACCAAGGTACCACTGTACACACATTTCATATTGCAGTGTAACGCTGATATTGTTGTGTGCGCATAATTGCCTGGGAGCGCCATTGAATTCCTTGGGATTTCTGAGTCAACATGCATAGGATCATGTGTTGCTAATGAACAAATCCTTGCCCGCCCACCCCCCGAACCCTGGTGGATTTTCCACCAGGGCTTATTTGGAGATGAAAATCCTCTAGCCATGCTTGGTGGGTGGTCAATTTCTGAATTCTCAGGGCTTCTCTGATGGTTGTCCTGGCCTGGAAGTGTATTGTGAATACATCCCTTATTCCCTGTTAGATATAAAGCTGCTACATGTCAATGAGGGTTTGACAGTTAATGGAGCGCATGTTCTCAGTATTTATCCGTGCCCGGAGAATGACTCACAAAATGCGAAGACAGCAAATGTGGAATCTTTTGTCTGCCCATCTCACTCTCTCAGCTTGGAAGACATTTTCCTGCGTTCTCATAAGTGATATATGTTATCACGTCTTTGTACCAAGGCTCTCAGTCTAGGCAGGCAAGGCTTCCATGGGCAAGAGAATGGGCTAGATTGTGTTCACAGGCTGCTAGTTGACCATTCCTGCTTTAAACTCCTCTTTACCACTGTCAGATGTTTCTTCACTGGCCTGCAGATGGGAGCAGGTTAAACAGCATTTGGGGCCGAGGACTCCAGATGTTGGCCTGGGCCCCTCCAGATGATATTGGACTCCCATCAGTCCCAGCCAGCATGGCGAAAGGCCAGGGGTGATGGAAAATGTTGTAGCAACATCTGACCAGCCACAAGTTCCCCATTCCTGCCATAAGAAATCCCTCTTTCCCTGATGTTGACAAAACCTAATTGTATAACTGGCCTCATCTTGGTTTTCTGTTTCTTGGTTACATTAGCACAGCAGTCTTCAGTTCTTCAAAAGACCCAGAATCCGCCTTTAACTCAAACATGAATTTGAGACCTGTTCCATATAAAACCATATATAGTTGTATGCTGTGTTAGAAACTGTCAGAGCTGGCTCCAGGTCCCAGCTCACAGAGGACCAACGCTAGCCGGCAGTAATGTACAAAAGTCTTTATTGAAGTACAGTTTCCATTTTCAAGCCGCAGCGCCCCAGCTCTACGTCTAGGGGTTAGATCGGCGAAGCTCCATCTGAGTCTCCGCCCCCTGTACACCAGTTTAAGATTCTAGCCTTACTCCACCTCTTACGTCTCTCCTTTCTCCTCTGGGTCCTGCTACCCCCCGGGGTCCCTTCCTTCCTGGATTCTTCTGACGCTGACGTTGACCCCCCTGACTCCTCCCCCTCTTTTCGGCGGGCTTTGGGACCTGGCTCCCTATCCGGGCTGCCAACTGCGCCGCTCTCCTGTACATTTGAACTTGGCGCGCGCGCCAGCCTTCAACCTTCCTCTCGACCGTTTCCTCGCTCCCCGATGGAGGCGTGGCCAATCCTGACTCATGTCCTCCCACTGGCAGTGCGCCGCCTGATCCCGATGCCTGGGACCCCTCCCCCCTACTGCACTCTGGTGTGGACGCTGGTCCTGATTTCCAACTGCTGCTCTCTGAGTCCCCTCTGGCCCCTTCTTCCTGGGGTGTCCCCCTCGGCACCCCCCTTGCTCTGACCAAGGGAGCCCCCTCTGTGAATCTTCCGATTCGCTGGAAAGACTCAGAGACCTCGGACCGCTGTCATCGCTAACATTTCCTTCGGACTCCTCCCCCTCGCTCTCTATTTCCTCCCTTTCCTGTGCCTCTGCTCCTGAACCCCTGACAGAAACTCAGACATTTAATCTAATAGCCAAATGGCAGTCGCCAAAACGGAATGCCGAGTTGCCGTTTTTGGGAAAGACGGCTCTAAAGTCCTATTTTTCAAAGGATTGACTGGCTGTGATTTATCAGTTAAACATCTGGCTAGTTCAGATGACAACCTTGAGCCAGGTTAAGAGCTTTGACGGCTTAAATAAGAAAAGTCACTTGATCCAGGGACAGTCCACATACAGTATATATTGGCCTATTCCGACCTCTTTTTCTCAATGGTGACACAGACCATTCATAATGTAGGAATACTTTTCACAACGGTGAGCTAGGCAGTTGGTTGGAGTAAGTGAAGAGAAGCTACAACAATTCACCATAACGCTGTTCACCGCTTCTACTCAGGCTGCACAGAAAAAGCATTTTGGTTCCTGAAATTCATTCCAGTTGTGCGGATAAAGTATAACTGATAGAATTCTGAAAAATGTGGTGTTAGTGGGTGAAAACAGTCCAGAACCAATGACCACCAGGCATGCACCTCCTGATGGTGGAGATGCCAGGTACCATCCTTGGCACCCAAGCATCTTCACTTTGTCGCAAGTGGCCGATAGTCAGGTGCAAAAATACACCCAGAGCCTGGCTAATTTTGAACACTGTTTGTATGCTGGTAGTGTTGGTGTTCTGACTCACCTTAGATCAGGCTGCAACTTGGTAGAGCAGCTGAGGAAACCCAGCCAGATGGGTGGGGTATAATTAATTATTAGTAAAGTAAAGGGACCCCTGACCATTAGGTCCAGTCGTGACCGACTCTGAGGTTGCGGCGCTCATCTCGCTTTATTGGCTGAGGGAGCCGGCGTACAGCTTCCGGGTCATGTGGCCAGCATGACTAAGCCGCTTCTGGCGAACCAGAGCAGCGCACGGAAATACCCTTTACCTTCCTTTTTTTTTAAAAGATATTTATTAGGATTTTCAAAATATTACAAAATAGAAAAAGAAAAAAGAAAAATACAAAATAAAAATAGTTAAAAACAATTCAATCTTTCAATCACTTATCTTTCATTTGCTTGTTTCCCGGACCTCCTCATACCTCCCTTTTTTGTATTCCAGTTCAGTTTGTTGGTTCAGCAAATCCTTACCCTCTTTATTTGTCCTAATCTTTGGTCTTAAAATAGTAACGTTAGATTTTTACCTCTTAACAACCCATTTTTCATATTCCCTTAAAGCATTACAGCTGGAAACCACTTAATTTCTATCCAACATCGTTCTAACATTCATTAATTTTACAATATTTCTGTAGATAGTCTTTAAACTTCTTCCAATCTTCTTCCACCGACTCTTCTCCCTGGTCTCGGATTCTGCCAGTCATTTCTGCCAGTTCCATATAGTCCATCAACTTCATCTGCCATTCTTCCAGAGTGGGTAGATCTTGTGTCTTCCAATACTTTGCAATGAGTATTCTTGCTGCTGTTGTGGCATACATGAAAAAAGTTCTATCCTTCTTTGGCACCAATTGACCGACTATGCCCAGGAGAAAGGCCTCTGGTTTTTTCAAGAAGGTATATTTACATACTTTTTCAATTCATTGTATATCATTTCCCAGAAAGCCTTAATCCTTGGGCACGTCCACCAAAGGTGAAAGAATGTACCTTCAGTTTCTTTACATTTCCAACATTTGTTATCGGGCAAATGATAAATTTTTGCAAGCTTGACTGGGGTCATGTACCACCTGTATATCATTTTCATAATATTCTCTCTTAAGGCATTACATGCCGTAAACTTCATACCTGTGGTCCATAACTGTTCCCAGTCAGCCATCATTATGTTATGTCCGACATCTTGTGCCCATTTAATCATAGCAGATTTCACCATTTCATCCTGAGTATTCCATTTCAACAGCAAGTTATACATCTTTGACAAAATCTTAGTTTTGGGTTCTAATAGTTCTGTTTCTAATTTTGATTTTTCCACCTGGAAACCAATTTTCTTGTCCAACTTATATGCCTCCATTATCTGATAATAATGAAGCCAATCTCGCACTTTGTTTTTTAATTTCTCAAAACTCTGCAATTTCAGTCTATCTCCGTCTTGTTCCAAAATTTCCCAATATTTCGGCCATTTGGCCTCCATATTGAGCTTTTTCAGAGCTTTTGCTTCCATCGGTGACAACCACCTTGGAGTTTTATTTTCCAATAAGTCCTTGTATCTTATCCAGACATTAAACAATGCTTTCCTGACAATGTGATTTTTAAATGCTTTATGTGCTTTGACCTTATCATACCACAGATATGCATGCCATCCAAATACATTGTTGAACCCTTCCAGATCCAAAATGTCAGTGTTTTCAAGAAGCAACCATTCTTTCAACCAGCAAAAAGCTGCTGATTCATAGTAAAGTTTAAAGTCTGGCAGGGCAAATCCACCTCGTTCCTTTGCATCTGTTAATATTTTAAATTTTATTCTAGGCTTCTTGCCCTGCCTTCTTGTCCTAGGCTCTGTGGTTTAACCCACAGCGCCACCCGTGTCCCAATAACCTGCATTTTTATTGGTAGTGGGTCCTAAAGCCAGCAGCTAAAGATCAATGTGCTAGAGGATAATGGCATTCTACGAGACAACTTTTGTCTGTTGTCTAGATCTGTTGATACAGATATAGCAGAAAGCTCACATTCATGGCTACGTTTATTGCCTTGCTGTTAAAAAGAATGCTTTAAATAGCCAAAATAGCCTTTAAGCCTAGTGGCCAACTCTTCCTAAATTATATTAAATAAATAAATAAATAAAGGTGTTTAGGTAAGAGACCTGGAAGATTCCCCAAGTAAATAGCTTTGGCACTGAGTCTCAGAGGGTCCATTGGTTATCATCTCCTGTTTATACATAAATGTCGCCAGTGACCAAACATGCTCTCCCATCCAGAGCAAGTAATGTCTGGATGGTTATGTCGATTTAATCATGAACATGTTTTAAGTGAAAGACTCTGGTCTGATTTGGTGTACATTAGCTTCTTATTTTCCCATGTGTTGTTTTCCGCTTGTGTTAATTGTGGTGGTAGAGAGATGCACTGTTTCAACACAGCAGTTTAAAAATCTTTTTAGTTTATCCGAAAGCTGGAACATGCTCACTTCATTGGGTGCCCTCCGCTTCTAGGTGAATGAGTAAGAATTTTTACCGTTTGCAGAAAATAAAAATTGGACTTTTTGGAGCAGAATGAGTAGGAATGTGCTAGATAGAAAGATGGATCTATTGTCCTTCGTCCTGCGTGTCTAGAACTTCTTCCTCTCTCTCTCTGTTGCCATTCACCTCAAAGGAGGGACAATTCTCAACATGCAGCCTGGGAAAGGGGCTAAAATTTCTCACCATCTCTGATATCTGGCCGTGCTGGCTGGGGGCTGATGGGAGACAAAGAGTTATCTCTGTCTTAACAGGCCTGGAGCTGACATCTCAATGAAGATGCCTGTGTCTCTAAGAACCATCTTAAGGTCTTGGTGATTCAAGGCTTGTAAGTAGCACTTTTCTAGCAAAATATGGTTTTTCTCCCCCTGAGAGGGGAAAGAAACTGTAGCAAGCGCTTCCATGGGAGAATCGACAAATCTGTTTCAAAGCTTGCACATAGAATCACAGAATTGTAGATTCTGTGTTATAGTTATACTATTCGGAACCCAACAGGGTCAGTGGAGCGTATGGTGTCTTTATAATATGTGGTTTATTTACACATATATACAACCTGAGCCTACGAGGGAGGAGCTCACAGCATTAACACCTGAGAAGGTCTTGCTTCTCCCAGAGTCACAGCCTTGGATTCAAGCAGAAATCAGGCATGGCTCTCTGTCTACTTGTAGCTTCTAGGTCAAGCACACCAACTCTGGCCTTTGTCTTTCTAACTAACAGATAGAGCCACTTCTTCTGTTATCTTAATGACCCATACTTGGCCCATTACCCAGAAACACCACTGGCTATTCCAGCAATTGAATCCCTGTTGGATCCAGGAATTAGAAGGAACTCAGGAATGCAGTCTATCCCCCAAATCACAAGACCTGGGGTGTGTGTGTGACAGAATGGTAGAGTTGGAAGGGGCCACAATAGACATCTAGGGTTGCCATTTTGAAGACTAAAAAAAAAGAGGACATGTCCTGGAAAAAGAGGACATATGGCAACCCTAATATTCCAACTTCCTGAAGTGCAGGAATCTTTTGCCCAATGTGGGGCTCAAACCCACGACCTTGAGTTTAAGAATCTCACACTCAGTCGGTCCCAGGGAGTGATATAGAAGATAGGGAATATCTTTTCCCAATGAGCTTCCACTAGCAGAGTCATACAAACCTTTTACAAACAGATTCCCTGCTGTGAGTGCATTAGAACAACAGTTCATATTACTATATACCGTATTTTTTGCACCATAACACTCACTTTTTTCCTCCTAGAAAGTAAGGGGAAATGTCTGTGCGTGTTATGGAGGGAATGCCTACGGGTGGCAGGGGGGATCTGCTGCAGTCGTGAGCAGAGGATCCATGGTTCCCCTTCCTTCCCTCCTCCGTGGCTCGCTTTGAAGCAGCAAAGCAGGAGAAGAGCCCCTGAGGGGGAGGAAAGAGGGACAGAAAGCCTGCTTGCTTTAAAGGAGCAAAGCGGGAGAGGAGAGGAGCCTTCTCCCCTTATACCCCTCTTCTTCATTATTAGGAGCATCCTTCTCCACCCACCCCACGCATGCTCCTTGTCCCTTGAGTGCTTTTCCTTCCCTCCCCACTTAAAACGTGGTTACAAAGCACGGATCCACATGGATCCTCAGGATTTTTGCACTGGGTCACCCCAAATTCACCATCAGATCACATAGCATGTCCATGGCTACATCTTGCACCAAAAAAATAACTCACCCACTGTTGCCTTGGGCCGCAGTGGTGCAAAAACGTGGTTACAAAGCATGGATCCACATGGATCCTCAGGATTTTTGCATTGGGCTACTCCAAACTCACTGTCAGATCACATGTCTGTGGCCACAGCATGAACCACAAAAATCACACATCCACTGTTTCGTTTAGAATATTTTTTTCCTTGTTTTCCTCCTCTAAAAACTACGTGCGTGTTATGGTCGGGTGCGTGTTATAGAGCAAAAAATACAGTAGTTTTAGAAGTTTATCATTATTTTGAATGACACAGTGCTTCCTTGCAGGCATAAAATCAGTGTGTTCTGCATCTAAGAAACTGACCCTAATTCAGCAAAGCTGAGGGTGGATCTGAGTGATCTGACTGTGAGAGGGAAAGTGCAGAAAGAGCTAAAACTTGGTGTCTTGTATGTGCATGTTTTAGAAAAGGGCACGACAGCCCAGGAGGAAATATTAAGAGAGCAGCATGCTGGTGAGATGGCAATGGAAGAGAATGGAGCAAAACTAGACTAGAGGAAACATTAGGTAAAGGTAAAGGGACCCTTGACCATTAGGTCCAGTCGTGACCGACTCTGGGGTAGCGGCGCTCATCTTGCTTTATTGGCTGAGGGAGCCGGCATACAGCTTCCGGGTCATGTGGCCAGCATGACTAAGCCACTTCTGGAGCAGCGCACGGAAACGCCATTTACCTTCAGGTAGGTTAAAACCTGTTATAAGGAAAGGGAGAATTGATGATGAGGATTAAACTTTTAAAATATGTTCCTAAGAGGAGAAAGAATTTTAGGATAATTCTCTGTTCTGAACAACAGCAGTGGAACATGAGCAGTGGGACTGTTGTTGCCATGCTAAACGGCTGGAGCACACCTTGTTGGAGGAGTTTTTGCGGTTGAAAGCTAACTTCTGTTGTGCTCACAACCTGCAAAGCTCTGCTTTCACATCAGAGGCCTGGATAAAGTTTGGTATATATGTAAAGGCTGCTCCACACAATATGCATTTCCTGCACAATAGATGTTGTGTGTCACTATAGATTTACAGATTGTGATTTAGCCTCATCTACGATGAACAGGTTGTTACAGAAATCCTCTGCCCTGTTGAAATTGGTGGAACTCAGAAATAGGTGCCAAGGTCCCTTCCCCACCCCCGAAAATATTTGAGGTCGGGTCACCCCAAAGTTGGTGGGCATTGCCATTCAATTTGTGTGCCTGCACCATGGCATGTGATCGATTATGTCAGGCGGGGCTTACCTGCCCCCTCCAATATTTTATTCAAGTTGGCACCCCTGAACTCAGCTGCGCTGCACTGTTCTCTTTTGATTGCTCCCATTGAGATGAATGGGAATCATCTAATGGGAAGAAGGACTGCGGCTGCATTCTTGCAAAACCTGCAGCTAATGAGGCATGCATGCACATAGTGGACATTTGGTTTTTTAAAAACAGTAACCCCCGGCTTGCCATTTAAAGTCTCACATGGCGTGTGCTCCTTGGACCTACCTACAGAAGCTATTCTGAAGCTAAAGAAACAACAGTATAGTAGCCTAGGTGTTTTGCAAAGCCATCTGTGATCTTGCTTTTGCAACAAGTGTTAGGCTGGATCCAGGCACTAAAAATATATATATCAGGAAAACGCATTGTAAACCTCAAAATGGGAAATTGCATTGCCGAAAGACGGGAACTCCATAGCGCCATCTGGTGTCACATTTAAGACGCTTTCTTTTACTAATGCTGATGAGTCCCTAGACAACGTTTCGAAGGTAAAAGAAGAAAAAAATCTGCTAAACAAGCCGCAGTCTAATAAAGTAGGTACAAATGCAAGCAGACATATAGATACATGTGATCCCCTCTGCTCCCCACCCCAGTGGTTGGAATCCAGCATGATTTCATTGACTTTGCTGGAGATACGGCTGATTTACTGTGAGATTGGAATCAGGTTCCATGAATGCAACTTATTTCAAAACATGACCAGAGGGGAAGAGGGTGAAAAATATCTAGAATTAAAAATAGTGTTGCACATCTTGACATTTTTCACATTGTTGGGTTCCAAATAGTTTTAACTATAACCGTGGTCAGACCTCAGGAATGCCTCCTCAGTGAAGGACTTCTGTTGCAGAGCTTTTTGGCAACCCTCCTGGCTTTATAATCAGCATTTTCTCCAGTATCGTTTTTATACGTTTGAGGGTTTCTTTCTGCAGCGAGTGCAGCTACTGTTCACCGGAATCTCTGCGCAAAGGGCTAAGCATGTTTAGAAGTCAAGCCATCAGCAAGGAGGCCCTAAAGCTCTTAGTATTAGGAACCAGGCCATTAGCATCCGGATCTGAAAACTGCAGCCAAGGTTGGGACTGTTGTTCCTTGTGTTTTTCTTTCCCCCTTATCAAGAAACTAGATTCCATTTTTGCAGGAAACAGGCTGCATTCTCGTTGCTCCATATTTTTAATGACCCCTAGAGAAACGTTGTCAGAACATATTTCTCCAACTGGCTAAGGCAAACGCTTTTACTGCCACCACACTCCGAAGTACAAAAACACTGCTTGCCATTTTATCAAGGAAAGAGAGCTCCACGCCCACCGCTCCACATTTTTAATTTATACATTTTCTTCTCTCATGCGTAGAAAACCCACAAACATTTTTCTCTTTTTCCCTCTTTCCTATTTTTCATTCCGGTTGAAACTATCGTTTACTGTATTTCCATGTGTGTCTTTTCATTTAAAAAAAAGCCTATTTTTTTCTGGATAAAAAAAATTATTTGGGTCTGAATGTGTGAAATGTTCTATGGAAGAGAGAAGTTAAGTGATGGTGTAAATGCATTGTGTGTATGTATTCTAAAATTTAAATAGATTGTACATATTGGATTGTAAATGAACTGTAAACAAGCAATATATATTTTCTTGAACATATATAGTGGTATATATTTGTTAAATAAGCAAACTTGTATACTCTTAATTAACCTTTTAAATATTTTGTACAGATAAGTTTATTAAATATTTTATTGATATGTGCTTCATTTGCCTTTTTTGATTCCAACCTCATTACCTGAAGCAGCGCAGCTGATTTTTCTTCCAACTAGAAATGCAATTTGTTTTACTGATTGCTAAGTTTTCCCAATAGAATCCTCTTAATATTTATCCATGTTTACTGCACTTTTCATGTGCAAACTACTTTACATTCTTTTGTGTGTGTGTGTGGTGCTGGTTGGGCTTATCCTTCCAACAACTTTGTGAGACAGGACACTTTAAAAAAAAAAATCATATTACACATAAAGGACCCCCAAAGTATCACTCAGTTTAGCTGTGAATTATTGGTACTTGTATCTGTCATGCTCAGGGCTTTTCCCCCCAGCCGGAATTTGCCAGAACTCAGTTCTGGCAACTCTCAGGTGAGAGCCATTGCCATTATAAGAGAACAAAGCACCTCTTTTTCTAGAAAAATAGCACTGGTCATGATGGAACATCCAGGAGTTTAGACATGAAACTAGAGCAGGTGTAAAGTCTGAAGATACTGTCTCCTAAATGTGCTTGGAGGGAAGGACAAAGAATAAGATCCATTCTAACAAGAGAGCTAATCTATGGAATGGATGGTATATGATAGGATTATATAATCCTCCCTTCTGTGAAATAAGTGGTGGCACTTTATGTTTGCTCCACTTCTCCAGTACCTTCCAGGTATTGCTGGACTACCACTCCCATAATCCCAGTCCATTGGCCAGGTTGTCTGAGGCTGATGGGATTTGTAGTCCAAAAAAGCACCTGGAGGACCACAGCTTTCTCATCACTGACATACCGGAAGGAAATTGGATTGAGCAATGTTGTTTTTAAAACCACTGAAGGTGCTTTGATTGATGGTCCAGGTGTATTCACAAACTACTTTTATCCCACTGTCTCCTGTGCTGAAACAGGTTTCTGAAGCAATATAAAAGCCCAGGAGACCATTTACCGGAAGAGGATAGAGAGGATATGGCATGAGCAGATGGCACTTTTCAAATGAACTTCAGAAGATGCTAAATTAGCTCAGTTGGTTAGAGCATGGTGCTGATGATGCTATAAGGTTGCAGGTTCAATCCCTGTGTGGGGCAGATGATCCTCTTCCAACTCAACAATTCAATGATCCAGCAAACTATTTTTAGTTTCCTACCTAAGATTAAGATGTCTGATGGGGATTTCCTTCATCCCACCCAAGTCAGGCTTGGCCTGAGCCTGTTTATTTTTTGAGATTAGGCATGTTCAGGGTGTTATTACTCAGACTGTGACCATTTCAATTCTGAATAACTTTGCAGATGGCTTTTTTAGAATGCACCAGTCAGAATGAAAAAAACAAAAGCACAAAAAACCAGGAACCTCCGCCATTCTATAATTATGCAACATTTTTATTAGTTATTGATTTTAAGTGTTAATATTTATTAAGTCTTCACAGTAACATGAAAGAGTATTTGCAAGCACTTTGCTACAAAATACAACATGGAGAAACCCATTCCTCGAATCATGAAACCAACAGACAAACTTAGATATTTCTCATGCCTTATTATAAGGCTACTACTGAACACCAACCATTATATTATATTATATTATATTATATTATATTATATTATATTATATATTATTATTTCCTTAAAGCAAATACAATGGCATTTTCTCTCCAGCATTCCACTTACACATGTGCTATTTGCTCCATATAGGTAAAGGTAAAGGTTAAGGACCCCTGGACGTTTAAGTCCAGTCAAACGTGACTGGGGTTGCGGCGCTCATCTCACTTTCAGGCCGAGGGAGCTGGCGTTTGTCCACAGACAGCTTTCCGGGTCATGTGGCCAGTATGACTAAACTGCTTCTGGCGCAACGGGACACCATGACGGAAGCCAGAGTGCACGGAAATTCAGTTTACCTTCCTGCCGCAGAAGTACCTATTTATTTACTTGCACTGGCATGCTTTTAATCTGCTAGGTTGGCAGGAGCTGGGACAGAGCAACAGGCGCTCACTCCATCACGGGGATTTGAACCGCCGACCTTCTGATCGGCAAGCCCAGGAGGCTCAGTGGTTTAGACCACAGCGCCACCCACATCCCTTTACCTTTTGCTCCATATATTCTGCATTAGGGATGCAGGTGGAGCTGTGGTCTAAACCACGCTTGGGAAACTCCCTCTGGATGTAGAGATTTAGAAATTCCTCCATAAATTGGTCTGGTCCCTTTCCATACCAGCTTCCATCATCATATCACATGGCTTCTTGGTCACCTAGAGGAGATATCTCATCAGTTTCTCCGAAATCTCAGAATTTGCAGGGAAGTGAGTGGGCTAGGAGAGTTAATGTCTGAAGCCCCCACCGGGCACTACGTGTTCTTTCAAAACCACTATTAAACCATTTCCATAATAACAAAAATTGCCTTCAGAATAAACTAATAAATAGGACCGGTGCTTATTTTTCTAAAAAAAATGTTTGGGGTACTTTCATTTTGACTCAAGAAAATCACCATTTTATAGTTCAAATCAGGAAAAATAAAAACAGTAATTGGACAAAAGCATAAAGCTTCACAAAATGTTTAGGGCATGGGTAGGCAAACTAAGGCCCGGGGGCCGGATCCGGCCCAATCACCTTCTCAATCCAGCCTGCGGACGGTCCGGGAATCAGCGTGTTTTTACATGAGTAGAATGTGTCCTTCTAAAAAAATTGCATCTCTGGGTTATTTGTGGGGCCTGCTTGGTGTTTTTACATGAGTAGAATGTGTGTTTTTATTTAAAATGCATATCTTGGTTAATTGTGGGGCATAGGAATTTGTTCTTTTTTTCTTTCTTTTTTCAAAATATAGTCCAGACCCCCACAAGGTCTGAGGGACAGTGGACTGGCCCCCTGCTGAAAAAGTTTGCTGACCCCTGGTTTAGGAGTATGCGTCCCCCTGCGTCCCTCCAGAAAAAACCCACTGAATAGGACACAGGGTGGACTGTTGAGGAACGACAGCCCCAAGGGGTGAAAAATGCACCAAAGATTTAGCATTTCTTGCGTATAATTTGCAAAACAGGCTTAAATCTATGAACAATCCAATGCGTGTAACTTGAATCATCTCAGTAAGCCTACCCACAGTAAGCACGCCATTATACTGTGGTTCATGTCAAGAAAACAGAAGTACTCCTATGATTAAATTTGTTGGAAATCTAGATGTAGAGGCTTATAGCTAAAATCCTGCAATTATTCCAAGTTAAGTTCACTGAGATGATGGGATTGTAGCAAAAATGCAGAACCACCACATACTTGAATAAGGCTTTCTTGGCCAATGTTGCAAAAGGACAAAATTTTCCTGTTTCAATATACCAGAATCAAAATCTACGTAGGCAGGATGTTTTTAACTAATTGTTGAAACATTTTAAGGGCTGGATTTCCCTCTTCTGGTGCTGTAGGTAGGCAACTCTGTTACTATGAACACACAAATATTTCTCTGCCGACTACATCTGACACACAGAAATATTGTAGGAATGCACACAGCTGTGTAAATGTCAATTCCTACACTGAAGAACAACACGCTTAAATTCCAAAAAACCCCTCCATCAAATTAAAACAAAATATTAGTAGGTTTTCTTTTCAAGCAACAGATTTTGCTGAAATAGACCAGGGGTCAGCAATCTTTTTCGGTCGTGGGCCGGTCCACTGTCCCTCAGACATTGTGGGGGGCCGGACTATATTTTGGAGGAAAAAATGAATGGATTCCTATGCCCCATAAATAACCCAGAGATGCATTTTAAATAAAAGGACATAGTCTACTCATGTAAAAACACGCTGATTCCCAGACCGTCCGCAGGCTGGATTGAGAAAGCGATTGGGCCGTATCCGGCCCCTGGGCCTTAGGTTGCCTATTCCTGAAATAGACCAACAGCCTTCTTATCTGCACAAGCAACAATATTTACAGAGATGAATCAGAACATTTAAGACAGCAAGCATATCACCTGGTCCAACATTATGTCCCCGTGAAGCACAGGTGCAAGTTATCATCATAAATATTTCAGCACCGCTACGAAGGGACAAGGAACCCCCTTAATCCTCTTTCTGATGCTTGCACATGAAGTCAGACCATTTAGCTCAGTATTGTCGACACATGACTAGTGCCACACCACTGGGCCCTCTCACACTGTTGTGAAGTGGCACAACAATAGCTGGAAATGGGGCATGAGATGAATGGTCATGGGTTGAATCGCTATGTGTGCCTACAGAGATTTCTCCTTTCTTCCACACGGGATTTTGGGCTCGTGATGTCACTGCCCGCCATTTTGAGTGCCGCTGCTGGCAACCATTTCAAAATATTCGGTCTTAAGCAACAATGATTTTTCTCAAAATTCCTATTTATGATGTCCAAAATTATTTCCATTCTCAGATTTTTAACAAGAGCATCTTGGCTATTGCAAATACTAATACAAGGTTTTAAGGTGTTTGGGGTGTGTGTGTGTGTATTGTTATATTGGGGTAACTACATTTTTAGGGTCTATTTTTAGAGTCACAATGAATTCCAGAGATAAACCACTGACTACTGGAATGAGTATAGAGGAGGGCAACTAAGATGACCAAGGGTCCAGATGTCAAGCCTTATGAGGAATGGTTGAAGGAGCTGTGCATGTTTAGCTTGGAAAAGAGGAGACTGAGAGGAGATATAATAGCTGTCTTCAACTATCTCACGGGCTGTCACATGGAAGAGGGAACAAGCTTGTTTTCTCCTGCTCCAGAGGGGAGGACTCAAACCAATGGCTTTAAGATACAAAAAGTTGAGATTCCAACTAAACTTCAGAAAAAACTTTCTAACAGTAAGAGCTCTTTTGACAGTGGAATGGTCTCCCTCCGGAGGTGATGGACTCTCCTTCCTTGGAAGTTTTTAAGCAGAGGTTGGATGGTCATCTGTCATGGATGCTATAGCTGAGATTCCTGCATTGCAGGGGGTTGGACTAGATGACCCTTGGGCCCCTTCCAGCTCTACAAATCTATGATTCTATGCAGTGCTTTTTTTCTTTTTAAAAAGGTTTAGGGGTACTCTCATTTTGACTCAAGAAAATCGCCATTTTATAGTTCAAATTGGGAAAAATAAATACAGGAAATAGACAAAAGTACAAAGATTCACAAAATGTTTAGGGATATGTGTACCCCTGCGTCCCTCCAGAAAAAAAGCACTGATTCTATTATTCTTCCCCAAATGAATGAGCAATGATATACAATGCCATGTGCCAAATGGTCAATGCCAGCTTTTTGAGAGTGGGAAGAAGTGATCTGGAAGGTATACAAAACCACAGTCTGGTTTCAGGAGAAAGCTACTCAGCATTCTTAATTTTTCAGCTTGCTTTCCCCAGACAAGTAAGAACCTGTTAATGAAACTGACAGGAGACCTTCGTTTTTATTTATTTTTATTTTTATTATTATTATTATTATTATTACTACTACTACTACTTGTTAACAATTCCCCCCTGCATTTGGAAAACTAGCAGGTAAGGGGAGAAACAATAAACTAGGTTAAAAAACCCCTGATGGCTAGGTTTTTATTTGCAAGGCCACATTTTTGTATGGAGGAGCATTCAATCCATCATGTGAGTCTGCTATTGCAGTCCCAAGTATTATGGTCCAGAAACAGGTTTCTTTTCTCACATTCTGAAAGAAAAGAGGCCCTTAAGAATCAAGGGCAGTTTAGAAGGCTTATTCTCTCACCCAGTTAATTTTCTTTCTTGGGTCTCCTGAAAAGTGAATATTTTAAAAAGTGGAATTGATAGGAAAGAGTTTGGAATGGAATTAGCAGACTGAAAACAACAACAACAGCAACCCAGTAATTTGTGGCTTATATGTACTCAGAACTGTTTCAGATATTCATGTATTAATTTTTTTCTCTCCATGCCTTTTAAAAAAAATTATACAAAAAAACCTTTCAAGGAAGTATTTGCATAAAAAATAATCTCCTTGGCATTCTTTGAGAACAATTTTTTAAAACGTGAGATAAAAAGGAATTTAGAGCTTGGTGCTGTGACCAGCAAATGATTAGCTTTATCAGGATTTTGCTACACCATACTGAAGTATTTTAACATTCTGATCTCAGGGCAGATTCACACATGAAGCTACATTCATTAACATCAGTGATTTGCTCCTGAACACATACATTCACAGTATTGCATTTGAAGGGATATGAAAGCTCTGTTTGTGATGCTTGACCTGCCTTGACTTTCTCACTCAAGTCTCTTGAGGTTGGAGGAAAACAACAACACATAATTGCATATGCATGTCTGAAACTCAACCTCAACCACTCCTTTCACAGAGGGGATTGCTCCCAACTGGTAGCAGTGATTTATCTCATGCTAGTTTAGTGTTCAGAAGCCAAGGCCGGTAGCATACTCTTGTTTACGGTATTGTTTTGCATTTGACAAAATCCATTCGAGGCACTTACAACCACTCCTTTGTGATTCAGACGGTCAATGGGACTATCTTTCAGGCCACAAAGTTCATTTGTGGCACATCCTTTAGAGGAAACCAGCTGCAACGTAGAAATGTAATGAGGAGCAAACATTTTCAAGTATAATCACACACCCATAAAACAGTTAAAATACTTCCTGATATGTTGCTACTTGCTTCACTTCCCTGTTTACAGCCTAGCCAGATCATCTCGCACCCAGTCTGCAACCATTTCAGCCATCTCCTCACTGGAACCAATCATGAAAGCATGTCGGAATCCTTTCTCACACAATCGGATGTCTCCATCTGGGAAATCCCTCTTCATCTCTTCATAGTATTGCACGGGACACCAGTGGTCTATACTTCCGTAATAAAAAGTCAGCTGAAAAACAAAACAGAGATAGGATAGGAGAAAAAACAAGCAAACCCCTCACACAAACCAAGTAAATATATCAGAAGAAAAGACAGAGATAAATCTAAGTGTCAGACGGGAAATGGAAATTTGGCACCCTGGGATGGCTCAGTTGGTAGAGCACAAGATTCTCAATCTCAGGACTGTGGGTTCAAGCCAGATGTTTGGCAAAAGATGCCTGTACTGTGGTACCTTGGTTCTCAAATGCCTTGGTACTCAAACAACTTGGAACCCGAACACTGCAAACCTGGAAGTAAGAGTTCCAGTTTGCGAACTTTTTTTGGAAGCCGAATATGCTCCTATTTGAGTGCCACACTTCCGTTTTGAGTGCCACACTTGCATTGTACAGTGGTACCTCGGGTTACATACGCTTCAGGTTACAGACTCCGCTAACCCAGAAATAGTATCTCGAGTTAAGAACTTTGCTTCAGGATGAGAACAGAAATCGTGCGGCGGCGGTTCGGCGGCAGCAGGAGGCCCCATTAGCTAAAGTGGTGCTTCAGGTTAAGAACAGTTTCAGGTTAAGAACGAATTAAGTTCTTAACCCGAGGTACCACTGTATAAACAAATGAACAGATTAGCAGGACCCGACTAATGTCCAGCATGGTAAGAGGAAGGAGGAGACAAAGAGTAAGAAGAGTAGAATTTGGTAACTTAGAGTATGCAGGGAGAGGTGGAAAACAAAATATACCAGAGAAAGACAGGAAGGGAAGTCCTTACATGTTCTGTTTGTTTGCCCTTAGTTTGTCATGGTTTCTTTTTCATTTTACTCTCCCAGCCCCCTTTCATTCTTCTTTTTGAATTGTATGTAAAAACGCACATACAATTTTTTATATAAAAAAGAAACTTTCCTCAGCCCCTCCATTAGAGGTGATAAATCTAAGAAATATCTAACAGAATCAAAGGCTCTAATCCAGCGATGGCCAAACTTGGCCCTCCAGCAGTTTTGGGACTACAATTCCCATCATCCTTGACCACTAGCCCTGTTAGCTAGGGATGATGGGAGTTGTAGTCCCAAATCAGCTGGAGGGCCAAGATTGGCCATCACTGCTCTAATCTTAACCATGGTTACTCAGATATAATAAGTTCTACTAAATTCAACAGGACTTATTCCCAGGTGAGAGAGGGCTAGGACTGCAGCTGGGCAGAGCAAACCTAAGTAGAGGAGGCAGACAGTTAAGCTGGTGGAAGCAGTGGCATAGCGTGGGGGGTGGGGTGGGCAGGCACAGGGGCGGTTGCCCTGGGTGCAAAATTGTTAGGGGGCGCAAAATTTCACCACCCGGTGCTGCCTCAGTACAGCTGTTCGCTTCCATTGCTGGGCTCCATTGAAAATGCATGGCCCCCGACACTGGCAACCCATGATATGCCACTGGGTGGAAGTTACCCCTACTGTATTATAAACTCTGCTCAGTTACTGCCACTGCTGCCTGAGCTGGCCTAACCCTAACAGAGGAAATGCAAAGATTTAAAAGAGAGTTTGACTTAAACCACCCTTTTCTGCTGGTGTTAAGTTATGCCAAGTTGCCAGATCATGTGACTGAGCTTAAAAGAGGTTTGGAATAGGTGCAAGTCTTTCCTTGCCCAATCCTGCACCTTTTTGGGGACTTATCGAGTAGCATAAATTTCACCAGCTAAAGTTCTCCTGGCTGAGCCTCATCTTAGCTAGGATGTGGGAGTGTGGTCCTGACTTATTTTATTTTTATTTAATTCTTTATTAAGATTTATATACCACCCTTCATCATAAGATGCCAGTTGTGGTTCACAGAATAAAAAACAGGATTAAAAACAAGGAAAACTAAACTAAACTGACTGAGCCCTGGCTTACCTGGGACCGATTTAGATCTGCCTATTCCAAATCCTGACGGATCTTGGGTTTAGATTGCTATGTAAATCTTGAAAGTATGCAAATAGCTCTACAAACCCAGCCATGTGGATACACTATAAGAATAATAAGAATAGCCAGACATATTTTCAGTCTGTACAGCAGTTCATGCCTCAGTGCCATCGATAAAGATTAGCTAGCAGAAAATTGCTTTTAATTTAGACCTTGTTGTATTCCAGTTATTCCCAGAGCGCAATTTCAATGCTCCCCCACTTTTTGGCGTTGGGTCACGTTATCAAATGCAATGTCCATAAAATATGGCATGAGGATTCAGATATACACAATGATGGCAGATGCTGTGAAAACACCATAGGAATCAGAGATTGCTATCAACAGGATGTTTAGATTAAAGAGTTTCTAAGAAAATAATGAAGATTTCCTGCAGTTCATTCTGACTGGCACTACAGTTATGACAGCTTGAGAAAGTGCAAGTTACTGACCAAACAATTCAGTCTGCCACAGATCCAAGGTGGAAAAAGAAAGCAACGCATACTCCTAAGAATTAAGTGTCCTCGATTCAGACATGAAGCCACATGGCAACTAGATTAGATGGCTCCTGTTACTGGGTGGTTTCCAACTCCTTGAAAGATTCCATCAATGGTGTCTCTGAAAATTTTTACACATCACCTGGGAAGGCAGGTGAACTAATGCCAGTGTACTGGAAGAAGCAAAGATCACCAGTATTGAAGCAATGGTTCTTCAACATCAACTTCGTTGGACTGGTCATGTTGTGCAGATGCCCGATTATTGTCTTCCAAAGCAAATACTCTACTCCGAACATAAAAATGGAAAGCATAATGCTGGTGGTCAACTAAAGAGGTTCAAAGACTCTCTCAAGGCAAATCTAAAAAAAATGTAGTATAAACACTGACAACTGGGAAACACTGGCCTGCGAGTGCTCCAGTTGGAGAACAGCCTTTACCAAAGGTGTCATGGGCTTTGAAGATGCTTGAACTCAGGACGAAAGGGAGAAATGTGCTAAGAGGGAGGCACGCTTGGCAAATCCTTGTTGTGATCAACTCCCACCTGGAAACCTAAGACCCCACTGTGGAAAGGCGTGTGGAACAAGAATTGGTCTTCACATTCCCTTACAGACTCACTTTTAAAACCGTGTTTATGGAAGACCATCTTACTCGGCTACGAGGGACTGCCAAAGATGATGATGATGATGATGATGATGATGAAGAAGAAGAAGAAGAAGAAGAAGAAGGTTTTCAAAATATGACATGTAGCTGGGGGTAGATACTGTGGTATGGAAAGAAGGGTTTTTTTTTTGTTTTTTGCATCCAACATTTCCAAGCTTGGGACATACTTTCTGCTTGGAACCTCAGATTCTGTTGGAATCTGGTTGGCCACTGCAAGAAGAGAGTGCAGGACTGGGAATAATTATTACTTTGCTTTATTACTTGCCCTTCAGCCTAAGGTCCCTAGGTGGTCGCACCCGTTTAAACCACAACATTAAAAAAGAAATTACAAGAAACATAAAAACTAGAACTTCTTCTCTTTTTTGGTAACTCAACAATAGCCACTTTCTTCCATTTCCCAAGAGCTCGATTTCTGCCTACCCTTGTGTTCCAATGCTGCTTTTCAAATCTTGTGTATGTCACAGAAGGACTAATTTGAGCATGTGGTGCAGAAATTTCGGATACTGCCGCATGTGCCAGAGCACATGCTTAAATGCTATGCGCGACAAAACCCTCATGTGCAGCTTTCCTAACTTCCATTCTGAACTTCAGCAGAACTCAGTCCAAAAAGCATATGAGGGCTGCCAAAATAAAAGGTGTTCCTGGCTGCTGAGAGCATTTCAGGCCTATTCATGCGGCGTATTTGAAAGATTTTCCACAACTGGAGGCAAGTGATTTACTCTGGCTGTGGGCAGAGAGACCGCATCTGTGGTGTCTTCCGTACTGCTGCCTTCCAGATTGTGAACCTTTCAAGGGCAATAACTATTAAACTGCTATGGACAGCTTTGGACACTGGGTCAAGAAAACTGGGCAACACCAGGCCAGCTGTTTCAATAAAACCAGCTCAAGGTTGGTTTTGGCTGCTTTGGTTTGCAATTTTCTTCAAGCTGGTTTAAACAAAATGAGCCTGTGCTTTAAAAAACCTGAGTGACGTTAATTTGAAGGAAATGAGAGAGAGAGAGAGAGAGAGAGAGAGAGAGAGAGAGAGAGAGAGAGAGGGGCTTCTTCAAAGGCATTTTGGCTGAGATCCTTAAAGGGCGGTATATAAATTTAAGAAATACACAAATAAATAGCTAATACATTTTTGCACTGCAAAATGGATTTATGAAAGATTTTCCCTCATGACTGAGAAGAACTCCTCAGCTGCTTAGAAAACTCAGGAAGCTGCCTTATACTGAATCAGACCATTGCTCCATATATCTCAATATTTTCTATACCAGCAGCAATTATCTTGGGTTTCACATCCAGGTTGAACGTGAACATAAAGGGCTTCTACACATGCAGCGAGGGTTTACCTTCTCACTTCCATCAGGGAATGTCAGAAGCTGCCTTATCTTGACTCAAGACCATTGGCCTCGGCCCAGTATACCTGAAGGAACGTCTCCACCCCCACAGTCCAGCCCAGGCACTGAGATCCAGCTCTGAGGGGCTTCTGGCAGTTCCCTCACTGCGAGAAGTGAGGCTACAGGGAACCAGACTGAGGGCCTTCTCGGTAGTGGTGCCTGCCCTGTGGAATGCCCTCCCATCAGATGTCAAGGAAATAAACAACTATCTGACTTTTAGAAGACATTTGAAGGCAACCCTGTTTAGGGAAGTTTTATGTTTTATTGTGTTTTTAATGTTCTGTTGGGAGCAGCCCAGAGTAGCTGGGGAAACCCAGCCAGATGGGTGGGTTATAAATAATAAATTATTATTATTATTAAATTATTATTGGCCTTTTGATATCAGTAATGCCCATTTGGGCTGCCAATAGCTCTCCAGAGTTCCAGAAAGGGATCTTTTGCCGTCTATTACCTGAAGGCGGCACAGATCGAACCCGCAAGTGTCTGCATACTTAGCATGAGTTCTACTTTGGAGTTACATTGGAGACCATTGGTTCAAATTCTGTGTGGTGAGGTGGTGATGGGGGAAGGTGCTTTCTTCCAAAATGGAAGAAACCCGAAGCCTATAGCTGTGTGCAAGAAGCCAACTGCATTCCACTCTGAACCAGGAGAGGATGTTTACATTACACAACCATGATGCAATAATACTCGAAACACTGAAATTGCCCAAACCAGGTAAAAACTCACGCCTGTAAATGCAGACGTCTCTTGGAGGCTAGTTA